AAACAGCAATTCTCATGCTGGGGGGCTGTAAGCCCAACACAACCCTGACTAACCTGTAAAAACAGATGCAATTTCAAGAGGTAACAAAGTCACAGTTCAGGTGAGCATGTTCTATATAACTTCCCTAAACATGTATTAATATACCACCCATCCCTCCTCCTCACATATTCACTCAGAAATAGACCTGTCATCCAGCCACCATACCCTTATCGTCTAACTGCTAACAAGCCTATTTGCCTGTGACTGACGTTGATGTGATCCCTAAAGCTCTGGGCTTGGCACCAGATCGCTCCTAAGCCAAATTAAGCCTCTGTCATGCCCACCCCCACCTCCAGCCTAGTGCTACCCCTGCCATGGGAACCCTAAATCTTTAATGACGATGGAGAGCTCTGCGCGCTCCCACGACACAAAAGCGATGACATCTGTGTCTGTGAGTGCTGCACTCCAGAGCAACTCCATTTGTTCTATCTGCGCTTGTTGAAAAGAAATCAAATATAAAAGTTGAGGGAGGGTGGAGGAAACTAAAAGAGGAATGAGGAGGTGGGGCTAAGGAGGTTAAAACAAAGATCCTCTCTTTCAAAGAAGGTTTATTCCCCTGCCCAGTGGTCCTTAATTGTTCAAAGAAGGTGCTAAGAGAGTCCCAGCTCCCTTTCTTGCTCTGGTGCCCTGGCTACAGCCCACCTGCTCACAACTACATCCAAGTCAACAGGGATGTTGAGTGAAAAACATTTCCCCCCACTACTAAACTTAACTCCTCAGTGACTGAAAGTGCCACTGAAAATGATTCATCAATTCCCTAATACAGCTGAACCTAGGGGAAATTATTTCTTATGAAATACTTTAAAATGTCATAAACTGTTGCAACATAGCAAACCACAAGGAGAAGGAACATTTGTTTAGTTATACTGCCTCAAAGACCTGAAACAAACCGACAGATGATACATTAAAAGTTTCTCTACTTTGACTCAAGCACATCTTGCAGTTGAAACATGCTGTCCCCTTCTTTCTCTCTTCGTTGCTTTCCTTTCATCTAGAGCTGCAACTAACAGTATTTTAATATTGATTCAACTGTATTATTTTATAATTATATTCAGGATTAATTGTAAATCTATCGTTCAATTTTCATTCATATAGGCCTATTCAAGATAAAAGTAGCAAATCCTCACATGTGAGAAGCTGCAAATAGAGAATGGTTGGCTTTTTGCTTACAAAATGACAAACATCATATTACTTAACAACGGTTTTTTAGATTTAGATTTTTACAAATAATCTATTGCCGATGAATTAATTAATAACCTAGATTATATGTTTCATCACGACTTGAATATTTTATCATTTTTCTGTCTTATGCTGATTTTCTGATTAATGTATTTTATTTGTAATGCAATAAGCTGTATAAATAAAATATAGGCTATACGTAGCCAACAATACGGCCGTATCTAACTGAAGGTAAGCGTTTCAACCTCCTAAATGATACCACAGACCATGAGCCGTGATGAACAGGCACCGCGTTAGTCACCTTTACTCCGGGTCCTTCGTGTGGGTGAAAAAAGATGGCGGCGTCCATGCTGTACCGGAGGACTGCGGTGTTATGTAGGACTTTGAAAGGGATTTCATCTTCAAAAACTGTACTTTCTGCGAACTGTCCAAGTGGGTTTCTACTGCAGACAGCGTGCTATAACCCAAAGCCTTTAAAGCTGAACCTCCGCGAGCCGTTTGTTCCAGACAAGGACAGCGAGAAGACGCCGGAGTGGCAGAAGACGTCCCGGTATGACAGGAAGGTGTTCGGGCGGTACGGCTCGGCGTCAGGCATCGATCCTGCCTCACTGTGGCCCAGCCATGAGGAGCTGGACAAGATCATCGCAGAGGAGAACGAGTGGCACCCTCCGTTAGAGGTGATGCTGAGGAACATCGCGGCAAAGGAGAAGCAGGAAGCCGAAAAACGGTTGGCAAAGTAAGTAATGCTACCGTAGCTAATGTCAGTGCATCAATTATCGGACAGGTAGTTAACGAGTTTTCTGTTAACACGAACACTTTATGTTTTACCAGTACCTAATGGTAATTACGTACATAATTACCATTGTGTAATGGTAAATATAAGAGGCACAAACTGGGGCCAAGACACTAACACACAGGAGAACATAACCAGAAACAAATACAGGTTAGATAATTTATCTGTGTAACCATGTTAACACACCACAGAGAAAAGTAGCAAATCCTTTAAAATGAGAAGCAAAGAATAATTTAAACAATTATCTGATAAGCTAAGTAGTTTGCAATTATTTTTCTGTCCATCGACTACTTCTTTTAGTGCTATATGTGCATATTCTGTGAATGGGACAGTTGTTGGGACTACAAGTGCAAATTGTCAAATTATCCCTGCCACATTTAACTGATGTTAACAGCAATGATCACTAACGTGCACCGTTCCATATAAATAAAGAGTGATTATGTATAACTGAATGTGTGCCTAGAGGTGTTTGTGTGTGTATGTATGTATGTATGTATGTATGTATGTATGTATGTATGTGTGTGTATATATATATACACATACAATGTATGTATATATATGTGTATATGTATATATATGTGTATATATATGTGTATATATATACACAATATTTCTGATGTTTTTTATTGTATTTTCTTTATGGACTGGGAGACTAGTTTTAAGCTAAAGAGATCCAGATAAACAAACAAGAGCAGAACAAGAATCAGGGGATTATCAACGTATTACAATTCATCCTGTGAAGATCAACCAAATTCCACACCAAATCTAATAGTTATTGAGACATAATGTGAACATTAACATCTGTTGTACTAATCTTTTCTATGTCCATCACAGAGAGAAACTCATTGCAGCGAACATGGCCAAAATGCCCAAGATGGTTGCGGATTGGCGCAGAGAAAAGCGTGAAACCAAGCACAAGCTAAAGGAGGAGAAAGCTCGCCGTGCAAAGTTGCTGGCTGAGGCCAGAGAGCGTTTTGGCTACGCAGTGGACCCCCGCAGCCCCAAGTTCTTGGAAATGGTTGCTGAAATAGAAAAGGAAGAGAAGAAGAAGAAGAAACTAATGAAACGCAGACTGAAAGATGAGCAGGTGGCACCCACTGTCACACCTCCTGCTGCCTCCTCATAGTCATTTCAGACAAATAAGTATTTAGAAGAATGGAAGGGGTGCTGCATAACAAAAACTCACCTGAAAAACAGACTTTCCGTGTTTTGTGTTACCTGATGGCATATGTAATGACTTGGAATAAAGAATCCTTACATGTTTTTATTTTTTTTTCTTCTGTAAAAAAAACAATTAAAAAAAATCCAGGGTTGTTTTGCTCATTTCTCAACCTTATGTTAATTTTCATGACCTCTGTATGTATTTAGCAGTCACTGAAATTAATTAATCTGTTCAGACCGCATTTTGTAAAGTAAAATATATATACAGTGTGAACTCTTTGGAATTACCTGGATTTCTGTTTAAATTGGTCATCAAATGTGATCTGATCTGATCTTCATCCAAGTCACAACAATAGAGAAACACAGTCAGCTTAAACTAACACCACAGAAACAATTATATGTTTTCATTGAACACGAGTAAACATTCACAGTGCTGGGAGGAAAAACTGTGTGAACCCCGAGGCTACTGACTTCTCCAAAAGCTAATTGGAGTCAGGAGTCAGCCAAACTGGAGTCCAATCAATGAGACAAGATTGGAGGTGTTTGTTAAAGCTGCCTGCCCTATAAAAAAAACAAACACCAGTTTTAATTTAGCTATTCTGATGAAGCATTACCTGATGTGAACCATGCCTTGAACAAAAGAGCTCTCAGCATACCTGAGATACATGCCGAGTTCCAGACCGGTTGGAACTGGGAAATTTCCAAGTTGAAATATCAGACTTCTAACCTCAATGCGTTTCAGTTGCATGGTGGTACGTGATGCTAAATGTAAACAAACATGGCTGACCGTGATAAACTTATGTTTCTTTGGCAAGTTTATGCACAGTTAAACCCTCAGCAGTGCAGTTGGTGTTAATTAAAACGGCCACTTTATTAAAAACAAGTGATAAAAATACATTAGGCCTACTCGTTAACTGTGTAGCCTATCCTTGCTACATCACTTGGTAATCCTCAAACGTTGTAGGCTATATTTCCAAATGTTATCACATTTCTGGGCATCTGCCATTTTCCTGAATAACTTTTGGGTAGAGAAGATGATTTTCAGAGATCGTTCACTGTAACTAGCTACCTAATAACATTGACAAAATATTTCTACATCAATTTACATGCAGAACAAGTTTTACTATTTGATACTAGTATGTAGTCTTTTAATTTAATTTATAGGCAAAAAAGGAGACAATACATAAAACGCTTAACAGGAATGGAGGACACCACGGAGGAAGCCACTGCTGTCCAAAAAAAACATTGCTGCAGTTTGCAAAATAGCACCTGGATGATTCACAGTACTACTGACAAAATATTCTGTGGACAGATGAAACCGAAGTTGTCATCAAAACCTCATCCAAACTGAAGTATAGTGGAGGGGGAATCATGGTTTGGGGCTGCCTCGGGGCCTGGAGGGGTTGCCATCAACGGGAAAATGAATTCCAAAATTTATCGACATCCCAAGAATATTGCTGAAGTGAAACAGTTTTGTAAAGAGGAATGATCTAAAATTCCTCCTGACTGTTGATCAGGTCTGATCTGCAACTACAGGAAACATTTGGTTGAGGTTATTACTGCCAAAGGAGGGTCAACCACTTATTAAATCCAAGGGTTCACATTTTTGTCAACCTACACTGTGAATGTTTACATGTGAGCATAAACATGAAAACATTTAATTGCTTGTGTGGTATTGGCTTAAGCAGGCTGTGTTTGTCTATTGTTGTGACTTAGATGAAAATCAGATCACATTTTATGTCCAATTTATGCAGAAATACAGGTAATACTTTTTGTGTGGCTGTATATATTATATATTACAAGATAGCTATATAAGACAAAACAGACATTCATATGTAAAATTTATTTAAGCAGAAATAATTAATGCATACAAGTTTGTGGTAAGTGAACGCACTGATCCAGATCTGTCTAAACACTGTTGTTTCACTGCTTCAGCCGTGGCATGCCATCCTCGAATGCACCTACCATCCAACTATACAGAGTGGGAAAATTTAGTGATCCGCAATGCATGACTCGGTGCACAAAATACTGGCTGCTGACTGTAGGTCACACATTTCTTAAGGCCAGATAACTAACTAGGTATGAAATGTGAAATATGAAATACCATTAACACCTTAAAACGCCATTCCAACACAGCACAGTTTAAGGTACTTAAGATTATGTTACTATCGTGGAGTTCCTTCAACAAAGTAAAATCAAGTAAATACTATACAATTCATTAAGTCATAACATTTTTACATTGGACATTCATAGTGGCTTACAATCAATTGTTGATTAAAATATAGTGTTTTTTTAATTTTCAATGTAAACAATAAAAACGTTGTTCATAACATAAAGTGTCTACTGTATATACGCTGTCCCTCAGCTCAAAATGTCAAACTCCACTTGACTGATTTATGCTCTCGGAAGCCAATGTGGAAAGGACGGGCTCTTGAAAATATTCTAACAGGTTATACCTTTGTCCAATGATATGTTAATGCATAATGTGACACCAAAATGCCTGAAAAGGTAAACCCAAACACAGTGATAAAATACCCAGTATTCATTTTTTGAAATATAGATATAGGTTAGAAACTGGGCACAAAGCTGAAACAGCCATAACTGTGAGGGAAACAGAGAGTCCAGTGTGAGGAGCGTTTGTAATCCTGAAGCTTCCTACAGATGAGTGTCCTCCTCAGCACCAGGGTCAGCTTTAAGTTTGGCCAGAGCTGCGTGTACCCTGAACTGTGTACGAGACTCCATCGAGTAGTCTTTGTAGTTCTGTCTGCAAGTCAAAACAGAAGAGAAGGTTAAAGCATTACAGAAAAGAGGCACCACATCCTCATCAAGATGAGGTAGATTTAGGTGTTATATTGAATATTATATGCTGACTGCCATGATGGAGGCCTCTCAACACCACCTACATGTAAACTATCGAGAACACCTACAATGAAATTTTATTAGCTTTGCACCTTTTAGGCTGCTATTCTTTTTTTTTTTTGTTCATTCATTTTGTTTTCTGTGAACTAAGTCTCGACTGAATGTTGCAATCTGCACAGAAAGTTGCCATATATTCAATGGGAGCAGAGGGTTGATATTCAATATGTGCAGTAACTACAGTGTTTGTCATAGGCACCTTCAATATAAACATGATCATTCCCAGTGAGTGGATAAAACCTGCGTTTAAGACCTAATGAACAGAGAGCGACCTCTAGTGGTCCTGTAGTGGCAATACACTGAGCAACCAAAGACAGATTGTGTCCTGCCTAACAGTCGGGTAAAAAAACAAAAAAAAACAAAGACGTTGGTGGAATAATTCCATTTGCAATAAATAAATTTAATAAGCAGCAATATAGTAATAAATTATAAATGTATTACATACATACATACATACATACATATTGACAGACTAATGTGTCAATGCACAACTTCAGTGCATATTTATGTCAATGGTTCAATGTTTTGGGAAACACACATAATGTTATTTGTAGCTGAGGGTTACATGATGAAGTGTGTTAATATGAAGCTGCAGCCAGCAGCCGGTTAGCTTAACTTAGCATAAGGACTGGACACATAGGGAAATAGCTAGCTTTGTCCAAAGCTAACAAAATTTAACTACTAGCACCTCAATATCTCACTATTTAGCATGTTATATTTTGATTGTAATGCGTACAAAAACTAAGGCTATTGCACCAAATTATTTCTTGGCTGTGGTTGCCTGATTTTGTCACATTTGGACAGAGCCAATCTAGCAATTTACCAGTTTCCTGCCTTTAAGCTAAGCAAATACACACCTGCCCTACTTTTACTGTATGAGAGCGGTATCAAACTTTTAATGCAAGAAAAGCAAATCAGTGTTTATTCTGAAATGTCAAACCTGTACTTTAAGTAAAGTAGTATTTGTTACAAGGCTGTTATAATGATTACATTACACAGGGGCTACTTACCGTAAAACTAAAGTACATTTAATTTCAATATAACTGAGTAGGCCTACTCTTACTTATTATTCACTGCCACTTTATAATAAATGACTGATGCTGATTGGCAACTGAGAAATAGGCTTACATCTCTCATTAAAAAGTCAAAATCAGAGTATTTCCTTTGTGAAACCACAAAAAATCCAAGCAAGTTCTGGAAAATCATTAAAGCCTCCTTTGGAAACATTAGTTGTAGTGAACTACCCCCTCATGTTATGATTGATTCCGGCAAGGTGACTAATAAACCAACAATGTTAGCTTGCTTTAATGGGCACTTTATTTCTTCAGGATCCTTATTTGAATCCTCATGCCTTGCTTCTTCTGGTCCCAGTGCGCAGGAGCACCCCTCTGACCCATGCTTACCTCCTGACAAACTATTTTATAATTCTCCTCTATCAGTTTCGAAAATTTAATAAAGCTCTTCAGGAATTAGACAAAAAAAAGTCGACAAAGCCTGATAAACTTGACCCCTTCTTTCTAAAGTTAGCAGCTGACTTCATTGCAAAGCCTCTATCTTATATCTTTAATTGAACATTTATTGAAAATGATATCCCTAAAGTATGGAAGTCAGCCCATGTTACACCCCTACTAAAAGGGGGCAATCCCTCTATTTTTAAACAACTATAGGCCTATTTCTAAGCTGTGTGTTTTAGCCAACCTCTTTGAATGTTTGGTTGGTAAGCAGCTAAAGGAATTCAAATGATATCTTATCCCCATTTCAATGTGGTTTTAGGAAACACAGCACCATATCTGCAGCATTGAAAGTGATAAAAGATATTGTTGGGGCACTGGATAACAAGAAAATATGCGCTGCACTGTTCGTAGATCTTTCAAAAGCTTTTGATACAGTTGATCACCGCATTCTGGTGACCTGTCTAAGCATTCAGTAGATTGGTTTGCAAATTATCTGTCAGGTAGAACCCAAACTGTTCAGAGGGCTGGCTCTTTTTCTTCCTTTTGGCCCATTTCCAATCTTTGTGATAATCTATCGAATGCTATGTATCATTTTTATGCTGATGACACTGTTATTTACTGTACTGCATCATCTACTGCACCAGCCCTTGATTTTTTGCAGTCTGCTTTCAATATTGTTCAGAGCCCTTTAAAACAGCTGAAGTTGGTCTTAAATGCAGAAAGGTCCAAAGTAATGGTATTCACAAACTCAAGACAACTTCCAGTTACTACTTCAAGTATCTCAACTTTTGAAGGAAATGAAATTGAGTTAGTTAACAGTTATAAATATTTTAGGTATAATCATTGATTGTAAACTGTGTTTCAGAACTCATATTAGCAACCTGGTTTCTAAGCTCATCATAAAGCCTGGCTTTCTCTACAGATCAAAATCATGCTTATCCATTTGCGCTAGAAAAATACCTGGTGACGGCCACTTTTCATCTCAAATTAGATTATGGTGATCTGATATATATGAATGCTTCCGCCCAATGCCTACAGAAATTGGATGTTGTGTAGCATTGTGCATTGCGTTTTTTCACTGGTTGTAATTATAGGATACATCATTGTACCCTTTACTATAAAGCTAAATGGCTCTCTCTTTATGCAAGAAGGTACACTCATTAGCTGTGTTTCATCTATAAGGCACTTCTTGGACTAGCTCCTACCTATTTGAGTATCTTTTTAACAAGTACTCAAGGCCATTATGGATTACGTTCAAAGGACGTCCTACACTTGTTGGTCCCCCGTGTCCGAACAGAATTAGGTATAAAAAGCCCTCATGTTTGCTGCACCTTCTGCTTGGAACCTTCTTCAGAACTCGTTGAAATTGACTGCCTTTATTCCTTATAGACATTTTGTTTCAACTCTGAAGGATATGGAGCAGGTGAACATTGGTCAGTGTTGCTGTTTATAAAGTTGTAGTCTGCCTTATTCAACACAGGGGCTTGTGTTATATATGTATGTGTACTTGATGTCTTTTACATGTTCTTTTTGATTTTAATCTCAATGACACTCACCTGGTTAAATAAAACAAAAATTTTAAATGAAAAAATGTATGTTCTCGTGGTCTGTGATGGAAGCAGTACTCAGATCCTTTACTTAAGTAATACTGCAATGTAAAAATACTCTGCTCATAGTCTGCTCATGGTGGAAGGGCCCATTGTCTACTCAAAGAACACACAAGAGAAAGCAAAATTTGCTGCCATGTGAGGTATAGTATGTGGTCTAGAGTGCAGTTGGAAGGCAGCTGAATTTTGCTAATGCCCCCAAATTGTCAGCAAATTTGTAACGCATTAATTATTTTTAGCGTTTTATATTACAAACTATAAATGTATATCCCTCACAATAATGAATGCAGACAATCCATGCACCCAAATGGAGCATGTGCAAGCCATGCAGGCTGCTGGTTAACAGTACTGACACCTTTTCAACTCTAAAGCACTGCATTTCTGTATTAAAGACACATATTCTATGGCTACTAGAATGAAAAAGACATATCCTACCATGTAATCTTACTGGATCCATGAGGCAAGATTTGATTGTCTCGTGTGCATCAGTGACTATAAAAAGGAGTAACTTACTTGGCCTTGTGCAGTAGTTTAATAGCCTCATCCCTTCTGCCTTGGTCTATGTAGAGCAGACTGAGCTCAACCAGAGAGTTGGGCACCAGGTAATGGTCAAACCTGATCTTCTTTTCACTGAGCACACACAGAAAGAATGAGAACTGTCCCATACAGGTACATTTTACAGATAGGTTTGCTTAGTTTTTCCAAGAGGGCAGGTGACAAATGGTTCTCACAAGAACTAGCTTGAAAGCCTCCTTAGTCATAAGCAGTCAATATCTGTGTGATTTCAACAAGCAGTAATGTCATTCGTGATTGCAAAGTAAACATTCACTTGACTTGATGTTGTTATGAGTATAATTGCTAAGCAAATATTACATTGTCAATACACCCACTTAAGAGCAGCCCTTAAATGAGAGGCATGAGGAATAGCTTGATTTAAGATTTGGACAAAAGCTAAGCATTAAAGCGTCTTTGAACACACACACACACACACACACACACACACACACACACACACACACACACACACTTCTCTGTTCACAACAGGTGAATGGTTTTCTAGAAAATGTCTTGCAGAGTTGCATGCAGAGTGAACAGGGAATAATCATCACACACTTGAAATTAATCCACTGGAGCTCACCTGGAAAACACTTTGTTGAAGCATTCCTCAGCAGCTTGGAGGAGACCCTGGTTCTTCAAACAGAGACCCTTCAGCATGTGGATCAGACAGCGGTCATCCACTGAATAGTCATTTTCTGTAGAGGAAGGAGCAGACATCACAAGCACAGACGTTACACAGTCATGTGCGAAGTGATCTCATTTTGTCTACAGTTAAATGTTAGGTGGTAGGGGTTTTGTTCTGGCACAATGTTTGGAATACGTTGTGTTACCAGGAGATTCTAGCAGGGTGCGCTCTGCATCCACCAAAGTCTGCATCATGCCTTCAGTCAGTTCTGGTCGTTTGCTGATCATACTGAAACCGTTCCACATGTACATCATCTCCTATAATGAAACAATGAATACTGTTGGAAGGCTCTGAGAGTCAAGCATAGAGCTTATTGTGTGTGTGTGTGTGTGTGTGTGTGTGTGTGTGTCTCTTTACCAGCACTGGCACTGGTAACCGGGTTGGGCAGGGAGCCTTGTAGCGTCTGGCTTTACGGATAGCAAACTTCTCAGTCGGAGGAGACTTCCCTGCTATCTTCTGCTTGAAGGTGGGTACTTTTCTAAAGACACAGGGAAATAATAAAGACACATTTGAAAAGAACCCATGTAGAGTCGAGTGAAACTTCTGATATACGAAGAAGTCCTTTGGATGAGGGACGAAACGTCTTCCAGTATCTTCAACCAAGTCCAGTTGCCCTTGACCTTAACCTTCGTTGGATAACTATGACCTGGATGACTGAGAATCTTCATAGACATCTTCTGATATACGCTTTTAAACATCAGTTTATTTATTTTTGGCCACTTGGGGGCAGTGTAACAAACTGTAAACCCAAAACTGACATATTACCACCATGTTAAGCTAATAGTCGCGTATTTACACATCCAGCAGACACAGAGCATTAATTTCACGTCTTGTCTCTGTCCACCTGAAGAATTTACTCTCTTGTAGCTGTTTCAGTCTTAACAAAGTCCTGAAGGAAATATCTGTCTCTTTACCTGCTAAATGCTACACGATGTTGACCAACTATTCTCACTTTGCCTATGCAGTTCAGTGATTGGTAAAAACTTTGTTTGCTATCTGCCAGTTTTTTTCTTTGCTGAAAACAGCTACCTCCTGCTGCTGAAAACAAGATTGATGAGAGAGGTGAGAGAGAAGAAGAACGGTAAAGTTTTGAGCTGTAAAACAACTCTTAAGCTGTAAAGAGTTGAGCAATAATTCTCTGTGCATTTGTCATCCTTAACCTCTAATTTCACAATGTCATTTGAGCCGTTGTTCAAAACACTGATAAATGCAGCTTTAACAATGTATTTGTGTACTTACGAAGACTACACTGCAAATTATGCATTCCTTCAGAGCTGGTTGTGTGTGTTCTAGAAATTAACACTGCACGTCTGCAATATGAAGTTAAACCCAAGGCAGTGTTTCAAGGTCTGAAGAAACCACAACAACACAAAGTTTAGAAGAGACACAAACCTGCAATGGTACCACTGCAGATTTTTCACAACATAAATACCCACTTCACTCAAAAATGATTTTTGCTTATTGTTCCTTCACTTGGATGTTTGACCTTTACTGTATCAAATGATGTATGTGCAGAGTTTACAGCTACTGAAGACAATGGAAAGAAAAAGTTTCTTTGCTCTCACATCAAATCAGAGTTTAAGATGTGGACAATCTAGCAGGATTTTTACATCACAATTAGTTTGGAAGCCGATCGTGGTCCAATATGCCATGAGATTTAAGAATTTTTTAATGAGGTAATTATTCAAAGCACTTTGTACATCTCAAAACATGTACATTTAACAATTTAGTAACATCCTCCAGTGTTGTTCTGTTGTGCAAAACTAAAGGCTCCCCCAGAACACATTTCAGCATTGGCCAGCGATGATTCAGCCCTGATCTGCCCCATAGCAGATACTTTTTAATCCCCAGGTTCACACAAAGTACTCGGACAACAATGTGAACAATGCCACTTGCCTCCCAGCATCTTGTCAGCACATAGGTTAAATGCAAGTACATCATGAGCCTTTTGATGCTTTCAGACCAAAAGCGAAGCGAGCGTTCAGGTGGTGAGTTTACATACAAAGTCAATGCAAAGACGCATAGAGCCGCGATTTCCTGTCGGGCGGCGCGAAGCGATGCGAAGGGGTAAGGCCGGCGACGCGAAGGAATTCGCGTGAGTTGAATATTTTCAAGAGCGGGGGATTGAAAATCTGCTGGACGGCTGAGAGCTGCTAAACGTGGGGCAGAGGAGCAGGGAGAGCAGCGCTGCAACAATTGGACAAATAAACCCCCGTAGTCGGTCGGATTCTCCGACCGACTACGGCGTTTACTCGCGGGAGGAGCTCGGAGTTAACTGCTTTTATTAAATTAGCTTTTTACTTTAGTTTTTGGGATTTCAACGTTGATTTATCTTCACTGGAGCTTCTCAGCAGCTAGCTTCCGTGCACATCCGGTTCCAGTATTGTTGTTAGCATCGTTAGCTCTGTCGGACTACGACTTCATGTTTATATAAAAACCGGACAAAACTGGACATTGCTGGGAGAAAGCGAAGAGGTTGAACTACCTGGTGAGTTCAGAAAACATGTGTCTGTAACTTTATTCCAGCTATCATTGTACTTTACTGTGACCAAGTTAGCATAGCATAGCCCTGATCGATCCAAACTCCATTCAGAAAACAAACATTTAGAAGTTGTTGTCCTGCCGTCTTGCTGTCAGACCTGACAAAGCATGAATTCATATGTCAATTCAAATCTGCATCATGTTGTAGTTATTTCGGCATCAGTTTAATCCATTTATTGCTATTTAATCACAGCAAAATGTATACTTTGGGTTCATATAGTTGTGGTAAAGGCGAATTGTGTTTATTCATGTTATTGTGTTAAAATCGCCTTCTCGCGTTGTGTGGGAACACTTGCAGCAAATGTACTCACACTAGTAAAGAAAATTTGCAGTTGGTCTGAATGCGGCATTAGGACAACAGCAGCTTGTTTCTGAGATAAAACATGGAACAATTACAGTGTTGTGCATTTACCTAAAGAGCTCTACCTCATCCTCCCCAAAAGGCCTGGCCTCGTCTTTAGGCAGCATGCTGAGGTAAGCAGCTTTCATGTAAACGTACATGGCCTAACAGAGAGACACAAAGACAAGGTTCACTCATTTTATTTCGCAAGATGTTTGACTTGATCAATGCACACTTCTCTGGCCTGTCTTTTGATCTGTACCTTGGACCAGCAGCTCTCCTGGCTCAGTAGATCTGCATAGAAGTACGCCATCTTCCATGCTCGCTTATAGGTGAAGCACCACATCAGCTCCCAGTAGCACATGTGGTGAAACTGCTTCCAAGCTTGCTGGGCCTTGCAGCCATCTTCAAAGAGCGCCACCGCCTGGCAGCACAGTGACATTACATCACATAGCACATTAATAATAAAGAATATATAACAGTGACGCTGCATTTGAGGTATGTCGCGTGTTAAATATTAACATTAGGTGCTGGTCCTCTAACTAAACATTTCCTTAATATCACTGTGGTAACAGAAGTGAGTCATGCTTCACTCACTCCCATAAAAGGTATGCAATCACTTACAATTCTGTAAGTTTGAGAGATGAAAATGCTCTATTAAAACATTACATATAAAGGAAATAAAACACTAGTCATCATTTGTTTAAGCCTGACACATTTTATGAAACGCACCTCATCAATGTTCCCCTTGATCTCTTCAGTCCTGCCTGCAAAGAAGAGGAATATTGCTCCCTGTAAGGAAGGCGGAAAGAATACAATTCATAAAGTTAGATTTCAGCCTCAGGACTGCAATGTGTGTGTTATAATTCCCATCTAACTGAAAGCAGAACTACTGTATAGCAATTACTCTTGGCAGTGTTTAACCAAGACATTTCTATTTTGGTTTGGTACACATTGTGTCAGAGCTTTGAGTTTGTTCTCTGGGATGGGCAGCCGTGTAGGTAAAAGGTGGAGTGGATACACGGATTGTGAATCTACAAGAATGTGAGTCAGATGGAGTGGTAGGACGTATAGTCCAAAGGTGTGTGAGTGCATGTAAAATGAAGGAAATATAGTGTATGGATTCAGGATGCAGAAGGGACTGCGTGAGTGGAAGGTGGAGTGAGCATCAGATAGGAAAATCATCAGGGTGTGTGACTGGACGATAGAAAGGAAAAAGAAACAATGTGAATGGGAGGAGGGATTCATTAGAAAGAGATAACATGAATTGAGAAGCAATGGCGGAGTAAAAACTGATTAAAGGAACAATGACGCAAATAAGTTTAGGTGTTAGACGAAAAAGAGAACCCACGTTTGAATGAGGAACTGGCAAGAGACATGGAGGAATCTACTCATTTTCAAGAACTAAAAACATCAACTAAAAGAACAACAGTAACACATTACAAACTACAGTCTGAATCTATTGGCAATAAAAGGATAATTTCGGTTTACTTTGGACTTTTTTTTGCAGACTTACATGGATCTTATTTTTCTAGTTTTGGCCATCATTTCAATTATTAATAACTTTTTACTCACTTCGACAGACAGGGCAAGAAAACGAGCGAACAACCTGGTGCAAAACACAACCGGTGTTTGATGTTATAAAACACCTCATTGCACAAGGAATCTGTGTGAGCATAAAAATAAGTACAGAAGGTCATATTTGTACCAGGAAGGTGCCCCACCTGACTCCTTATTTGGTTCTAGAAGCTAGTTGGTGAACTACTGTAACTGGCGAGCCAACCAGTCACTAAACCTACCTGAGCTTGTTTCACTTTTCCCAATATATCCCTGGGGTGCTAACTCGCCCTGGCATTTTTTTCTTGGGATTATACATCATCTCATTCAATAGTTATTGACAAAACAAAACCCACCACAGTAATAGAGAATAAGTTCACACAGTTTATCCAAAATACATAAATATCCCATCAACGTCTGTCTCGTAACGGTCTGCAAACCATTCCTCTTTTGTGGAGCAGAAGCCTATATACTCCGACAGAGGTTAAATTAAACTGGCTGACACACAGCTATTAAACTACAATAGCTTCCTCCATTTTGGACTTTCCAGCTCTCTGTTTCGCCAAAAGGTCAGCAGCGCTACAATAGCTTGCTATTGGTCAACAGCGCAAACTGGAGTGTGAAAGTTCACCAAAGTTTCCTTTTAAATGCTGGTTGCAAGATTTGCCAGCTGCTGTATATATAATTTGAATAAAAAAAAAACAATAGTTAAACCAAAACCACTTTTGTGATGACTAGTTTCTCTGAAAAATCCATTTTCTTTTATAGATAACATTAGTCTATGAGGCCACATCTGGAGCTGAATAGCACACATATGGGTTAACATCTTCAATTCCAGACAGAAAGTCCCTAGTTTTCCCCAGAAAGTTATAGATTCTGTACACAGATGATCCTTATAACCACTCACCCGTGGGTAGCGGAGCCGGAAAGGTTTCAGCAGCCTTTCAGCTTCATCCACCTCTCCCTCACCTGTGCCTGAGAGGACAGAACAGATATATGATACGATTAATCATCCAGAAATGCTCCTAGGAGTGAATCATGCGAGGAATTCAGTGACAGGTTTTGACACAATGAGAATCATCTGAATCTACCTAGTACTAGCACTACCTAGTATGAATGTGAGAAAGGTGTAGTAACAGAGCAGTAGCAGAGCGCACAGCATGGAACGCAGATTCATCCCTGTGGCACCATCTTGCAGCAGGGACAGACCATATTCCTAAAACAGGACCAGAAAAACATCAATGAGTGTGTCAGTTAATGAGTGAATGCATCGTGGAGGAAATTTATATACCACACCTTGTCTCCAGAGAAGCCTGCAAACTCCAACACTTTGAGTATCCGTGGAGGAAACAGAGAGAGTGTCTGTAAATAAAAAAAAGACCTAATCAACTGTACAGTACAAATACACAATTAGTCAACTGATGGTGTTTAAAGATTATTTTGTGACGTACCAGATTAAACGCCCCTATTCCAAACGATATTCCTCCCTCTAAGTGAACGTGGCTGGGTCCTTTGAGACAGTTTTGAGATTTTATGAAGGAATGCAGTTCTCTGGATGATGAAAAGGCAACTATGTCAATTGCTGAACAACACAGCTCAGCATAATAACCCAATACTGTATGGCGTAATGACATGCATCTATGCAAAAAAATTGTTTACTTATAGGGGCAATCCAGCAATTAAACGTTCCACAAAGTTAAGAAACTTGTGAGATACAGATTTTAAAAAAGATTTATCAAAATTTGTGCAACAGAGATCGAGATAGAATAGGTCATGCTCTGAAACCACTTGATACTACATTTCCCATAATGCAACACAATAGCATCTTTTTTTAGGGAGTCTCCCTGCCTCATACGCCACACTTCCTGTTTATAACAGGTCTTCTGTTATTAAATTCGGAGTCTCCAAATCCACACCGATATAACCCTGATGACATCACTATGACATCATCAGGTTGTTGTTTTTTTAGAATGTTTCCTCCAAAATGCTCAGTAGCACTTGTCATTGTCATGGAAATTGTATCTTGCTGGTGAGGGATTAAGCAAATAATTGAGTAACAACCAACCGTTTATTAACAAAAAAGAGAATAAACAGAAAAGTACTAAAACACATATACAGCTGGTCCAGAGACCTGCTGCCTAGGGCATCTTCGGGCATCTGGCCCTGAGCAAAGGGATGCATAATCATTTACACAGTCTAGGTTTCTATGTTTTGGGGAACAGAGATCCTCTCCCAGCCTTGAATGAATATTCAAGGAGAGGAGAGGAACAACAAGAGGTGGAAAACACCAAATCAATCTCACAGCTCTGACCTAAACCCTAGTAAATGTGGACAGACTAGCATAAGGAGTATAGGAGAGGAAAGGTTAAGGACAAAAACACAATACATATATATCTATAAGCCATAACAAAATTAGTAATAACAATAGTAATAATAATAATAATAATAATAATAATAGTAAAATAACATGCATAAAAAGTTTAAATGTAAGAGAACAAAATTTTCTGTCATAACAAGTAAACTGTAAAATGTGCTCCTTTCGTAATAACCATAAAAGTACTTGTTTCAACAACTGCGAGTACATTAAATTGTCAGGTAGTACACACGTATTAATTTACTACTTTACATTTAACACCACTGACATGCAAATATACACCCTGTTTTTCCTTTCATTACTTACTTGTATATTAGGTAACTGTTTCGTACTTTGATCCCTCCTTTGATAAAACTCACCATGTTCTCATCCTGCAAAATAAATAAATAAATACGGGGGAATGAGAAGCGTTTATTAAATCAGTCAATGAATTGAGGTGCTCGGATTAGATAGTACGACTTAAGTGGAACTTAACACATATATTTCATGCCATATATTCACTAGACACTTACTAAATTATACAAGGTCTTGAAAATCGGGACAATGTGGAAACTGTGGTGTGCTGTTATGCAGGATATACACATATTTATCAGGATGTACAGCTAGTTCTGTGTTTCAAAAAGCAGATTAGCCTACTGCACCTGTAGGAAGGTGAGAGCAGCTCTTTGGAGTTGACACTCTGCATAACACACTTCAGCATGAAGCTGCACTGAAAAAACACACCCATACACACAGACATATAGTAAATAACATACAATGATCACAATCAACAAGTAATAGAGCAGAAAATCCAGCCAAATACAGTTGATCTCCCAGACCAGAGCTGCCAGAGTTAATATTCCATTATTTTTTGGCTTCTGCCTGACTGTATCATTAGATTTAAGGGCATTATGGGCCTTTCCTTGTCTTCCTGAACATGCATACACATATATTTGCAAAAAGTAATTTAATATTTTGGTTCAATACTTTATTTTATGCCCAAATATCTGACAGATCAATGAACCATCTGCCTCAGCTGTCCGTTGAGTTTAGTGCTAATTGGCATGTTAGCATGTTAACTAAACTAAGATGGTGAACATTACACCTGCCTAACATCACTATGCTAGCATTGTCAGTGAGCATATTAGCTTGCTGATGCATTTAGATTAGTAAGCTTAGTTTCTCTCTGGATGTTGGATGGTCAGTGGAAAATTAAATCATTACTGTTGGATATAGAGAAGTTGACAATATATGACCTTTTTAGATACTGTAGGGCTGCGCGATTATGGCAAAAGTCATAATCAGGATTATTTTGGTCAATATTGAGATCACGATCATTTAACACGAATTTTTCATTGCTTCATTTTTTTAAATTACTGACGGGCCACCGAGGGAGCTCTGTGTGTGTTTAACAAAGATTTGGTATCACCCCCCCCCCCACGTGACAAGTGAACTACTGAGTTGACGACAACGGGTTAAGTTAAGCAAATTCAACAGTGGTGTCCTGTTTGACGATTCAGTGACCTGAACCGACGGTGAGAAAAGTATTAAATATGTATGAATAATATATCATTTGTTAAGATATGAGTAGACGGAAAGTTCGCTAGCCGCTATGTTAATTTATACAGTGTAAAGTGCTGCAGGCTTAAGCAAATAAACTCTGGGTCATCTAGGCTCAAGCTGAACTAAACATCAAAGCCTGGCTGAGAGTGAGTTTAGGCTTTTAGAAACGGCGGGAGCCACCGCTGTTTTTATAACAACACAAAACAAGAACATCATTGTGAAACGTAATTCAGCACAATAATCGTATTATCATGATTATCTTGTTTTCATTATTGTTGGAAGCCAAAATCATAATTGATGACAAAAGATTGATTAATTGCAAGTTAACAAATTTGCTATCGAACTCCATTGCAAATGTTCTGCATATTTAGCATTATGGGCACTGCCAATTCTGCTTGTTTTTTGATTAATTGAAATAAATAAATTGCATTTACTGTTTATGGATGAATTTAAAAAAGGAGTGCGCCATCCAAGCCTTTTACCTTCTGTGAGTGATTGCCCTCCTGACTTATTAGTCAAACCTGGGGATTTCCGTCGAAACCTGAAACACCAAACAAGATCTCAGTATCAACAAAAGATTGTTGTCGCCTTACAATGCATTAAAAGATTAAGTCATGCAGAAGGCAGATACGTGCAGGTGGGGGAATAAAACAGTAACACTATAAGGATGTATGGAAAACACAATACAGTGATTATTACTGTGAGAATGCCCGTTTGAACAGGTGAGCTTTTAGGTTGGATTTGATACTTCTATGGCATCAAGACTGTCAAATGTACCTGAGCACCCATGTTGCTGAGACATGAGGTGGGGAGAGTCTGAAGATGAGCGCAGGTAGCAGGAGGGGGTGTACTCCTGAAGGGCTTTGAAGGTGAGCAGAAGGCTTTTATAGTCAATCTGGTATTGGACAAGGAGCCAGTGTAGATTGGTGAGTGTGGGGCCAAATGATTTGGTGCGGGTAATGATCTGGAATGTGTGGACCAAGACTTCAGTGCTGGATTGAGGCAGGGATGTTGCAAAGGTGGAAGAAAAGGGATCTGGGGGATGTTATTTACGTGAGGTGCAAACAAAAGGGTGCTGTCCAGAGTGACACAGAGGCTCTCCACTTGCTTGGACAAGGGTACGGGGAAGCAATCGATGAGGATGTGTGGGGTTTTGGTGTTCAGGGCTTTGAAGCCAATGAGCAGGGCCTCAGCTTTGCTGCCACTGAGCTTCAAAACTTTCATACTCATCCAGCTGCTGATGTCCTGGAGGCAGGTGGCAAGGGAGGGGGGGAAGGTGGTAGTGGTGGTGCGACTATAGTCCCTTTTCCACCAGATGGCACCAGCTCAACTCGCCTCGACTCTATTAGCCTTTTTTGGTTTTCCATTGGGCGAATCTGATACCTGGTTGTTTTTTTGAAATAACCTCGGTCAAGGTTCCAAGCCAGCTGAGGTGATTGTGAGAGGGGTTGGTGATGGTGTACCCGTAATGGATAAGACACATGCCTTTGGTGTGAGAGACCTGGGTTCAATCCCCCACATCCCCCATCCACCAATGTGTCCCTGAGCAAGACACTTAACCCCTAGTTACTCCAGAGGCGTGCGACCTCTGACATATAGGCACCAAAAGCGAGTAGAGGGGAGGCGAGTGGAGCTGGTACCAGCAATGGGTAAGCACCATATCCCTGCTAACCACACCATTCACCGAGTCCATTTTTGCTATCTTCATGGCACCGCTCATGCAAACACAGTCAAATTGGTATTGTGGGCAGAAACAGGCCATGTAAATGCACTCATGTAAATTCATAGCGCGCAGACTGTGGGGTTATCAGCACATTAGAGAATAATGTGAGGTGTTTTGAAAGATGTGGAGACAGTGTGAATTCCAGCCTATTAAATGAGTAAAATGATGACTATTTAAAACAAAACCAGGTGAAAAAAAAAAATCTACATTCGCGAGACATCCTGACCTCTGGCAGACCTCCTGGGCACTCTTCATGGTATTTCCTGCATTGCTGATGTCATCATGCTGGAAAGTCATCATGGCCTGCATTTCTAGCACTGTGGCGTAGATAAGAGCATGGTACATACTCTCTTTCACTCTACATAGGAAACATGGAGTCACAGAATCAACATCAAACACATCATACTGCCAGCAAACAGAGGTAATGTTAGGAGGATAGCTACTGTATAACCAGCACATTTTCCTGTTGAGAAAAGATAAGATTAAATAGCTGGTTCTCTTTATTCTTCCTATCTCCTCTCTGTCTTGTGCTTAGTGTTTATTTTGCAGCGCTGCCATTTTGTTGGCTGCTAAATCAGTCAGGCCTTGGGCGTCAGCTTCAGCAAACACCTCATATCCTGGAGAACTGAAACCTACGGGGCACCCCCAGGATTGCTCTGTTACCTTGGCCGCAGCATGTCCAGGCTCTCATTGAAGTGGTTGTTAAGGAAGAGATCCAAGGCCTCCATGCACTCATCCAGGCACTCTTTCAAGGTCATCTGTGAGGATCTGCTGCACAAACACGGATAATGAAAAAAAAAACATGCACACAGCAAATGCATTAAACTGTGACAGAGCAGTGTGTATATGAGGGGTAGAGGGGAATGCAAGGCCAGCAGCAGAACAGTAAATACAGGATCCGTTGCACAGGTGAGAGGTTCACAGCAATGAAGCATTTAAGCTTGTCTAAGTGAAGGTCTTGCCACTGAACACGGCGCTGATCTGATGCAATAAGTGCTTCAAGACAACATACAATGTGGCATCTGTCCTAAATATGATTAAAAAGTTTTACCAGTGTTATCAGTAACCTAACAGCTGTTTTGTTTACCAAGACCCTTCTGCTGCGGTCTTGCACACTTACACGGGACTGCTTCCTGGTGCAGCAGTTCACCAGAGACTTTAATTTATCTGGACCTTTGACAACTGCTCGATAAAGAGTTAACTCGTCGCTAGGACTAAACCGGTGCATTGACGTGTCCAGGTGCAGGTCAGAGTGAATTATTATTAGTTTTATTTACAGTGCAGCTTGTTTTCACCATTTGCACACCGAAACATCTCACCCGGCTAAGATGTCCAAGCTTTATGGAAACAATACAAACTTTTTAGCGTGTCAGTGACTTTCCAGTTGCCATGTACTCACTTCTGTGCAGCATTTGCGTCTTTCCCATTGGACATGTTCTCTCTCCGAGCGGCGGCGTGACCCGCCACCCCAACACCTGTTAGGAGCTCAGCTGTACTTCGCCACTAAACTCTATAAAACCACGCTGTCAAACGAGGCCAGTTGAAAAGAAATTGGCGTCAAGCTGCTGCTACAAAGACTTTCCCGTTGGTTAAATCCACGTGAAGTGCTCCGAGGATAAAGGCATGCGTCCATCTGCGTAGATCCAACACTTTGAGTGAGTGCAGTAGAGGCGCGTCTGACTCCTCCTCTGTGACGTCACTGCCACGAACACGTTATTCAGTATTCAGGTTGATTTAAAAAAAAATAATAATAATAAATTCAGGTTGATTTTTAGTTTGTGGTTTCATGCGACCAGCTGCTAGTTAAATGGTCATCTGGAGGTATTACACTAAAGTTTGGTTAAAATAGGGTGTGCAGTAGAAACGACTTCTTTGAAATATATAATTCCCTTTCCTCCAATTTCCCCTGATTCGAACTTAGGTGCTTAAAATGTGCAGTAAATTATTATTCAGCTTCATTGGCACATAACATCATCTGAGTCGGCCTATGCTATAGGTTTGGTAAAATGAAGCTTTATACTTGAGGGGATTGGGAGACAAAATGTTACTTTACTCGAGGAGGCACAAAAAATAGACTTTTTAGAATTATTAATAGATTTTTTTTATTATTAAGAAATTAATGTGTAGGCCTTATTAGTTCGGTGCCACTTATCTGATTCCAAACTAAGTAAAAAGTCAGATGTTACAGTTAATGTTACAGTACAGCCACTTGGGGGCACTGTTGCCATATTTATTTAAAATGTGGAGCCACGCGACGTTGGCATCGTGCATTCTTTTTACAGCCATGGTTTTCAACAATTGCAGAGACACCGAAAGTCAAAAAAGAAAAGAAATTTAAAAATCAAATAGAAATGCATAAATTAAGTGCCTCTTTTTATTCTTTGATGACCTATGAAAGACCAGGTGAGGAAAGGGAACAGGTGAGGCAAAATCCAGAACACAATGTAATTGCATGAGACGATGTGACCTCTTCCGCAGAGTGGTTTAAAGCCCATCCCAGGATGAAGTTTCCCTTCCACCTTAGTCTCAAGCACGGACTTGAAAAGAAAAAATCTATCAAAAACATCTGTCATGTGGATCACTGTTTGACTTTACTGAAGCTGACTCTGAGGTGTGAGCTGCACAGAGCCATCATCCACCTTATGTTCATAAACATGGCCAAAAACATAAATTGTCCTAGTAATGTATGTTACCGGGATACCGCGACCCACCACAACACTGCTCAGTGTTCAGTGCTCCTTGTAGGATGCAAGTCTCTAACTTAAGTAGAGGAATGACCAAAGTTTTTCCTGAATATATTCCAGGATTTTCCTTTAATCACCCCTCTGTACATACTGATTGGTCTTGACAGCCTGATAAGTAGCTGACCCTTCTGAACCTGTCTGTCTGATTCAATCCCATTTTGATAGGATGAGAAGAGAGTGTGAACCTCTTCCTGACTGCTGTCCTTGATGATCTTTCAAGCTTTCCAAATTGCAGAGGGTAATGCACCTAGAGTCGTGTGTCCGTCGTTTTAAAGTCCTAAGCAGTACAGATTTAGGTGCAACTCCCCTCAATGTGCAATCAAATAAAGATAAAAAGTTCAAATAAATAAAAGAATTGATAGAAATTCACACATACCGGTAAAAAGATATTGAACAGTCAGTGTGATAAATAAACTATAAAAACAATATACGTGTTACAGCTGGACACGCCCAGATTTTTGTGCTACCTCACTGGATGGAGAGCTGTGTTGATGGCACCTTCTTTTGACCTGTTAGTTCTGTAAGCAAATTCCACTCGTTCTCATCTCAGTGCGTCATTATGATGCTTTTAGAAAGCGTGAAAAACTGAAGGTATAGTCCATATGAAATGCCACCGTTTGCTACGTCGCAGCAATACAAAGGAGGTTAACACTACATGCTAGCACATCAGCCATGAGGTCAATGTGCACAGTCAGGATGGGGACCTTTCATGACATGCGTAAAGTCAGTGAGTTAGGTTTTGGCACTAGCATTACTGGTGGTTATGGTAGGGGGCTTCGCACTATGCAGGCGCTAGCTACGTTCTTGTTAAAGGTGTTGACAGCCCAGCTCAGCACTGACCAGGAGGACGGCTGTTTTACAGTTTCACAGGATGAACCTGGATTGTGTGTGAGACCTTTTGGATGTGGAGAACGACAACATGAACAACATTAACATTAGATCCTGACCGATCCTGTCGACCCCTCGGGTGATTTTAATATTAATTTATGTTGCTGTTGCTCGTGCGTAAATGCGCACAGTGTCTTTGGGGAGACGCTTCATCCAGCTGCTTTTTAATGTTCATTTTTACAATCTCAGCAGTAACATCAGTGATGTCAAAGTGAAATGATATTAAAGAATGCGGTTAGAACAGCGCTTTATGAGGCGCGACACAAACGGTGAGGGGCAGAAAGTTCGATCTTCGATTTGACTATTTTTAATAGGCTTAACTAATACAATGTATGAATACAACAGGAACACTGCAGCGTCCTGCTCCAGCTATGGGTTGGTCCAGCTGATTGTCACGCATCTTGTAAACATCACAGCGGTTGAAAAGACGTCCGCAAAGGATACAACTATGTATCCTCGCTTATAGCTCCCCCAGCAAGCCTCCTCAATCCTCGATGTGCATTTTAAGAATTGAGATGTCCTTCAAGATGGCGCGCTAACATCGATATCTGGGTCACACAGAAATTTGGGAAATGAGAAAGGCCCATAGCCTACTTTTGAAGAGTCAACCCAAGGCTCTGAGCTGCGCTCTGACTTCCGCGTTTATCTCAGTGATTGTGCGTGGAGTCCACTGCAAACACTGAAGTGAGTCTTACGCCCCGGGATTCAGAGTGGAGCTCGGCGATCGATAATACTTTTAAGAAGACACCACAATACACCCTATCCTCAAGCCCGAGCAGTGACACCTCCCTACTCAGTGCTGCAACGCTCCAGGAAATGATCGACACCAGGACATGGCAAGAATCAGTGTGAGCAGCCCTGTTCACATCAGCTGCACAGCAGTTTCTACATATTCCACATCAGGCTGTCTCTGGCGGGACTCTTTCTGATCTAATCTGTCTGTGCTGTTGTGTCGATGTTTTCTGCTGAATGCAAATTATAGTTCGTTTTATTGGAATGTTTTTTTTTTTATTATATCCAGTTAACTTACTTTAATAAAACATACTTTCCAACCATCAGTGGAATGTTAGTGTTGACAAACTGTTAAACATTTTTATACTTGTTGGGGTTTGTTAAAATATAGGAAACCATGAGTCGGGTTTTTATTGGTGTCTATACTGATTATGTTTTCGTTCTTGTAATTTCCATCAAAAACACTGGACACAATGGCTGTAAAAAGTACAGCCCTCCATTTTAATGGCAGATAAGAAATAAATCACTACGTACTTATGAAGGTATATTCTTATTTAAACTTTATTTCCATGGTTGCATGTAGATGTTCTAGCGGTCAGATCATGCACATTGTCATGAAAACACAGCAATGCAGCAGCACACACGTTATCACACACAGGTGCTCAGTGCTGCGCAGCTCCAGTAAATGGTATATATGAAATATAATATATGAAATTGAAATGATATTTAAATAAAGTTTAAATATTCTTATTTAAACTTTATTTCTATGGTTGCATATTGTAGCGGTAAAATCATGCACATTGTCATGAGAACACACAGCGATGCAACCGCACACACGTTATTGCACACAGATCTTTATTTTATAGATCAGACTTTTACAAGAATATTTTAGTTTCATACTTTGAATAAACCTTTGAGCACAAAGAAAGTCTATCTGATATGTTTAATGAATTAATAGTTAGGTCAAATGAAAAACATGTTTGAGGTAGGCCTATAGGCCATGTGTTAGAATCGGGACAAACATCAAACCTTTTATTTTTTGTACAACAGTTAACAATTTTGATAAAAACAACATTTAATCAAATAGATTTTGATAAGGAAAATCAGATAATAATTAAATATTTAGAAATAAATATGTTTTGGTAAGTTTTTTTAATCTAAGTTGAATGATCAACACTGGGGACATGGCAAAATCCACAGTACCTCTTAAACCAAAGCTTTTAAAATGTAAATAAAACAACTTAGAAGCCAATCTAATTGTAATCATAATTAATAACAATTAACCTTACATTAAAAAAAAAACAAATGGAACTAGTATTTGTCCAAATTCAGGCAACATACAACTGGTTTGTACTGGGGTTAGGAGCGGAAACCACAAGGTGTGTAAAACAGCAAATCAGTCCTCACAATATCAAAGGGCCAGAGAGGGAGGAGAATGGGTAGACAGAGGGATGAGTGCGAGAGAACTAATATCACGGGGCTTTTAGTCCCTTTAAGACGTGTTACCATACCATTTCTCAGACTTCAGTAAACTATGACTGGAGACAGTGGAAGTATCATGGCTGCCCTTCAGCAGTATGTCCTAAACCTTTTCTCTCGGTTTGATGTACGACTGGGCTATGAAGAACCTCAGGGGCTGGTTATTATCATTTACTGTGCCGGAGAGAGGCTCGGAGTAATTTCCATCTCTACACTGCTAAGGGGGATCTTCAACATCAACGGAGCAGAGTAACGGGACAACGAGACAAGTGCTGCGCTGTTGGTAGGCTAAGTCTTTTCAAGATAAGATTTAAAGCAAAATAGTAAATATATATATAGTATATATATCTTCGTGAAAAGTGAAGCGAATTACAGCGTTATTTTGAATATTTATCTGTGAATTAGTCTGAAATTTAACAAAAAACATATTAAGTTATGAATGATGATGCTGAAAATGATCATTTTTCCTGCCTGCCCTACCTCAGTGACATTGAACTAGGCTACTTGCTACAATAAATATTTACTTAAACATCTTGCAGTAATATGGCAATTATAATATAGCCTAGTTGTGTGCAATTTAATACATTTAAATATTTGTTAATGGTATTTGGCGATTGGATCACCTATGACGATTGAAGGGATGGTTTTGTCATGCCCCGAGATTAAGGCGATTTTAACTAACTCACTATCAGAAGACGACATTAAAACGTCTCTAGAATCTGCACCTCGTTTCCTATGAGTAGGCCTATAGAAGATGTGGCTGACCGCCACATGGTTTGCATCAGAAGATTCAACAATAAAGCCTAGAGAATTTGGAAAGTAAATAAT